GTCAAAGACGTAGCTGCAGTCAAAGACGTAGCTGCAGTCAAAGACGTAGCTGCGGTCAAAGACGTAGCTGCGGTCAAAGACGTAGCTGCAGTCAAAGACGTAGCTGCAGTCAAAGACGTAGCTGCAGGCAAAGACGTAGTAGCTGTTGTTGGTGCGTGATGCACGCCATAAATCACGCTTAGTGATGAGTAATGCGATGTACTTCCATCCATGTGGTGCTGTGGACGAACACGCACCATACTTACGATGCGATGTAAGATGCACTTGCATCATAACCATGCTTATGATGCACTTACGATGCGATGTATGATGCAATTACATCATAATGGTGCTATGGGCGAAACCGTAATCCTAATGACTGCTTCATTATCAGAAAGCGAAATGTTACCTTAAATAGAGGAAATGATACAGGTACATTAAACTATATTGAAATATTGAAGACGTAATGTGATTGATGTAAATTATATATACCATTTAAGATTTAAGAGACCTATTAGGATATTCTAGTGTAGATGGTGGTTCGTGTGAGAACAAGTTCACTTTAGTATTAGTAATAGTTTAATTACATAAAAATCAAAAAGATTTATAGAAACATGGTGTTAAATTTCTGTTAGTTATCTTACAAATAAACTGCAGAGGAGGATAAAAAATGCACGAAAGTATGATGAGTAGCATTGAAATTAAGTGCGATTGGTGAGATGGAAGTGTGGGAGTTTAAATTATATTTTATGATCCTTAGTGGATAATAAAAATAACTTGCTGTGCCTCGCAACATTCAGGTTCTGAATAGTAAAACTCTTTTAATTTTTTAACATCATACGTATACATTAAAAGTGGGAAAATTTTACGCCTAAATTTGATGAAGTTCGGAAAATATTATACATTGAGAATCAGAACGTTTTATTAAGATCTGCGTTCTTGATAATAGTAATCGAATTAAAGTGATTTGCACATGACTTTTAGCTGCAGAAATGCCCGCAATAATTTGACGATTACAGTATTTCTTTAAATCGTCGGAATGTTAGAAAATATTAAAAAATTCGTGAAATTTCTCACGTACCATAATATTTAATATTTATTAGAGAGTTTTGAAATAGTATTTTTCATATTCCCATTCAATGCGTGTTTCACTAGTTTTAATCAGATACAACCTCTTGATTATGTTATGGTTAACAAAGCATGAGGTAAGCACAATATTATGGAATACGTATACAAGAAGAATCTTGTTGAATTTTTAAATGAGTAACGAGTGCCAGCAAGCAACATCAGCACCAGCTCTTAAAACCAGCCCTCGTAATTTATAAGGAATACTTTGTATCCACGAAAGCTTGCGTGCGCTAAACTCTTAGCTCGACATTTTACTTGATCTCAGGACGGACCAGTGAACTCTCCATGCGACCGCAATGCGGATGATGCATTGATTAAGCCCTTTTATTCATGCATTAAGTAATTTTTTCATTTAATTAATTGATGTTATCGGTAGGCTATTTATCTAGATGGTATTTTCTATCGCGAATCCTATTTTTTAAAAAGAATCCAACATGAAAATAAGTGAATGGCTTACACTGAACGGACACTTTGACAGGCCAAACGAAGTCGGAGTGACCCAATCAAAAACAAAAAGTGTTCCAGTATTTCAGCAAAGTCCCACTCATTTCCCTGAGTATAAACCTTGTTAGACTCGCCACCTCGACATGTAACCGTAAAAAAACTCAAAAATTATCTTGTAAAAGACTTTTTTAAATTGTAATCTGAACCTCTCCTTCATTCACATAGTCATTGCTGGCAAATCTAAGCCAGTTTAATAACCTCTGTTAGTATTTTTATTTTTTTTCTTACTGAATTCTGCCGCTGAATTTTCCAACTTTTGGGCAATAGAAGAAAATAATTTCTCAAAAATGGATCAGCGTTTGAATTCAGGTCTGTTTAGATAGCGACACGCTTTTTAGCGTTTTTTTTTTAAAGGCGCTATATTTTCTAAAAAAGGCGCTATTGTTTGCGCTAGTGTGGGTCATTATGACCCAGTTTAGCCCAGGAAAAGAGTTATGAGTGCTGCATACACAAAATGAATAGATCATTTTGTCTAAATAGTGACACACTTCTTGCAATAAGCACCGAAATGTCCGTTTGCCGGGCAAAACTAGGGCGTAACAGCCCACATAAGTCAAAAAATATAACTCAGTACTCACTGCAGTGAGTGACAGAGAGCGCATTTTCTCGTCGACGAAAACGTGGTCAGGGACAGACGGACGGACAGACGGACAGACAGACGGATATGGACATGACAAGCACAATAGCGCCTTTTTCCATAAATGAGAAAATGCGCTAAAAATATAGCTCAGTACTCAATGCAGTGAGTGATAAAGAGCGCATTTTCTCGTCCGTTGACGTGAAGTCACGGACGGACGTCACGGACGGACATGACGAGCACAATAGCGCCTTTTTTTCCTTAAATGATAAAATGCATTAAAAAGCATCGATATTTGCACAAAGTCTGTCAATTTTTTTGAGAGTACGTCCGCTCTTAGCTCGTGCTGGTGGGTACGAAAGTTTTTTGCTGTTTGGATAATTTGATACTGTCACTTTTCTGAGTGTAAATAGACCTCTCGACGCAGTTCTCTTTGCATTAAAATTTCAGGGAAGATTCACGAAAGATTAAAAATTAAATTATTCGACTGAGTTTTCCTTTACTAAAGCAAATTAACAGGCCTGTCTTGTAGGAACTATTGTTGAAATCATTCAGTATAGCTTGACGGCTTATAATCACTTAATTGGCCTAGCCTCTATAGCTCGTCTTGCATGAAGCTCTAGCAACAAAGCGCTCACATGCTTGTTAGGCTATTGACCTGCCAGTTAGTCTATTTTGAGGCTACTCGCGTGTTCAACTAAGCATAGATATTTGATCAATTAATCGTAGAATGTTCAAATAATACTGAATCTCAAAGACATTAGGCCCAATTCATTGTTCAACTGACAGTAGGCTTATTCACTCTAGTGCTTATATCTATTCCATTAAGAATTGATATTTGTTCAGTCGTTCACTTACATGTCTATTTTTGAGGGGAGATGCTAGCGCGACACGAAGCGATTGTTAGAGTGGAAGGCATGCTCGGCTCAAACAAAATCACAAAATTCAGCGTATTATTGGATGGTATTGATTGATTGATAATATAATTTACCGATAAGATATTCCTACTGTTTGTATCCTTCTGGATACCGTCATGAAGCATCAGTCCGTATCCAGGATACCTTATCCCCACGCACAGGTAAACGGAATATTGAAGGGTGGTCGCTTAAATTATCACGCAGGGCCAAATTTCCCGGCGCATGTATAAGCTATGCAGGAGCATATGTTCAGTCTTAAAATGCCTAGCAAATTACGGATCAGGCAATAAGTCCAGCAGCTATCTCAATCAATCGTCAGTTATGGAAAGATCGGGTTCCAAAGGCCGGATCCCTTGTGAATCAAGGCACGAAAAGTTCAAGAATCGGCAACAGGCCATGGGCCTATTTCTTCAGTGCCGAAACTTCCATTCTATTCTATTCTATAACGTCATGCCTCGAGCGCAATTGTAAGACCTCATAAACATATACCACAATGTCAACATATACCATGTTTACAGTATGTACTACATCCTTGAAATATTCCACATCGTCAATATATACTCTTTTTCACTCTGTACTTCATCGTTAACACATTTTACATCGTCTTCATATACCACATCGCCAACATATACCATTTCGTTATCCTATACTAGGCAAAACTTGGCTCGGTGCGGCAGAGGAAATTGTTGGTTGCTATTTAGTAACGTTGGTTGCTATTTATGTTAAATGAATACTTTAATATATATAATAAAAAGAAAGAAAGAATAAAACAATTGGATACGTGATTGTCTGACCGGAAAATTGACAATGGCGAATCCGAACTCTATTCGGAATATGGGTAATACATTTAACCATATGAATTACCATGTGTATATCTTATGAGTATTGGTCTTAACCTCTCAAAGGCTTTCGAAAAATGTGTTTTTCTATTGGTCGTATCACATTAATCGTCCTATTTTAATAATTTTTTGTCTCCAATTTGTAACATTTACATTAATTAAGAAAAATTCACATCAACTTCTTTTTACCTCAGGGTTTCTGCAAAAGACTGCACATCACCGGGATCGGTCAACTATTGACGAACACATTAGCTGCCCAGCGAACTCAAATGCGCCAGCAGAGAACCAGAGTTCAGTTTCTGAAACCAAACGCCGACTACTTGCTATACACAAGTCCAGAACGCAGCCAATCCCGATAAACGGCCTGGACCTTCATGTCCATGAACAAAACCCCTCTGATCAAGTGTTCTCGAACAATTGGGAAGGATCTCATGCGAGGGGTGGAGGATCCCAAGCGAGGGATGGTTCTTCTAAAGAATCTGAACCTTTAACAGTGTTTGCCAGACACCGGAAGCCTCTGGATAGACAATCCAGGAAAGACAAAGAGACAATCGATATTGGTCTCGGATCTCTTGAACTGACTCCAGAATCCCCAGTTTCGTCGATATCCTCCTCAAAGAGGAAGGTTTTCAACTTCCTAGACAAGCGCCAAAACTCGTTCTCGAGCTACTTAACCCAGAGCAGAAGATTATCCGCATGCAGTGGTCCTGATCCAAATGAAACGTTATCAATTTTATCTCAACCTGCTGGTATTTTGGTCAATGATAAAAAAGAAAGAAACAATCGAGTACAGAACTCTGGATCGCTTCAAGAAATCGTGACTGATCCTGAACAATCTTGTAATCGTCGTCGTAGAAAAGATGTCATTCGAAGGTCAGTACACTTTCCAGAAAATGAAGTTCAATATTTAGAGAACTCTTGCGATGAAGTGGTAGTTTTTTCTTCTCTACACCCTTCAAAGAATTGCACGGATATTACAACGCCTTCTCCCATACTCACAAACCCGCACTTAAAAAAATACGAGCTTCATTCAGAATATAATGGATCAAATATTCAAACATTTAGAGGCATTTCAAAATCTGCTACGACATCATTCGAAGGAGTAACATTCACTAAAACCGAAAAAGAAAATTCAATAATTCCAGAACACGTCACTCGCTCGAAATACAAAGTTCCTCAAAATGATATCCAGAAGCTGAATTTTGGAAGCCTGGATTCTGATAGCCATGTCAGTGGCATCAGAGTTGGAGGAGTTCGCGAATTTCATGCGAAGGAAGAGCCAGCTGATTTTTTCTTCTCTGGAGACTTGAGCGGCAAGTCTTCGGTGACTTCGTCTCAATATCCTCGTCTTCCATCGAAAGACTCGGAGCCCAAGTCATCATCAAAGCGAAGCTCCGTCCACTCTTATGAACTTGGAGCCAGCCAAAGAGGCATATTTAGTCAATCCTCATTGGATAACAACTACGGGTTTTCAGGGGACAAAGATCAATCATCAACGATATCTCGTCGAAATCTGACGCACAAAAACAGCGTGGCCAGAAAGATTTCAAACGAGCAAGAAAATGTTTCCAACCCTCCTGTGAACATCAAAAGGAAAACAGGCTTTGCACCAGTTACTCTTATTCAACATAACCACGAAGAAAACTTTACCAACCATAGCCAGGAATCCTCAAAGACAGCCAAAGAGTCTTTCTTTGAAAAGCCTCTAGTTGAACCAAGGAAGAATCTGTTTAAGAGCTCCTCGACATCAACATTTAGGTTCTTCCCCCAGAGCATAACTCTGAAATCTAACCCGAACAAACCATCTCGTAAGGGAAGTCGCGACAAAGTTCCCGCTTCCTCGCATCGTTCCGCCTTCTTCTCGAGCCTGACAACCCCTCTTTCTCCCGACCTCGCCGACTGCCTCTACGCTAAGATGAAGGGCAGCCATGAGGGCATCTTGGTCACCGCCTGCAGACTCGTGGAGGAGGAACAGGTCCTCAGGTTGATCAAGGAACTCAACCTGTCCGGACAGCTCGATTCATCGATCATCAATGAGTGCGACAAGACTGGTAGGGTGAGTGGAATAATGTTAAATCAGTAGTCGGATATCGTGTAAGTATATGTACGTGTGATGCGTATACAAGAGGTAGTTAAATAAATATTGAATAAATAGATAACTGCTTAAAAATTTAGATTAATGTTCATGACTCGAATTCGAAATTGTACTCGAAGATGATATTCGAAAGTCGGTTATCTATGAAAATTTCTCAGATTAAATTGTAGGTTTACTGTAATCTCTCGCTATTTCACGTGTCAGGCTGTCTACCGTAACTCCCATACTTGTGTTAGCACTTACTGCGTCACTTCCGTGACGTCACTATAGCATGCTTATATAAGCTCCCCGAGCAGACCTTCAGTCAGTCTTAGGCAGCCCCAGGCGAGACGTAGTAAGCCATCATCATGTAGTCCGCAGGAACACCTGCTTACAAGTGCACCAGTTGATGTGTACACCTGATAAGTGTTGCACCTGATAACTGGTGCACATGCTTACAAGTGCATTAGTTGATGGGTACACCTGCTTACAAGTGCACCAGTTGATGTGTACACCTGATAACTGGTGCACCTAATAACTAGTACAACTGATAACTAGTGCACATGATAACTAGTGCACCCGATAACCGGCGCAGCTGCTTGCAAGTGCACCAGTTGATGTGCACCTGATAACTGAACACATGTCCCCAGACTGCGCTGAGTCACGCGAGCGTGAACGGCTACAGCCGCGTCGTGGCGGCCCTCGCTGCCCTGCCCGGCGCGGACCTCAACCTGGGGGACCACGAGGGCAACTCCCCTCTGCACCTGGCGGCCCAAGCGGGTGAGTGGGTGCCGGGGGAGTGAGGGCAACTCCCCTCTGCACCTGGCGGCTCAGGCGGACAGGCGGGTGAGTGGGTGCCGGGGGAGTGAGGGCAACTCCCCTCTGCACCTGGCGACCCAGGCGGGTGAGTGGGTGACGAGGGGAGTGAGGGTAACTCCCCTCTGCACCTGGCGGCCTAGGCGGGTGAGTGGGTGACGAGGGAAGTGAGGGGAAGTCTAGGTGAGAGGCTGGAGACCCAGGCGAGTGAGTGGCAGGCGATGAGCGGCTGCCAAGGGTAGGGGCGAGTGGCTGTGAGTGGCTGTTGATTTACACAACAATCGTCATTGTTAGGGACATCACGAACAACATCAAGTCTTCTTAACAATCGTTAATACTGCCACAAAAATTAAATGTTAATTTATGAATTTTTTTAATATTAATGCCACAATTGAAGAAAACCAATTATTCTCATTATTGTTGCTGTAGGACAAGACCGTGACCCACTAAACTATATATTCAATATATAGTATATGTTTATATATTATATATTATATATTATATATATAAATATTCCATATTACATATATTCAATATATAATAAGAACCTCCTGACGCAGGCCATGTGGACGTGGTGGCGCACCTGGTCAACAGGTGCGAGGGCCACGTGGAGCTCGACGCGCGTGACCACGCAGGCTTCACGCCCCTCATGAAGGCGGCGCTGCAGGGGCGTACAAAGGTCGTAAAGACGCTCCTCTTCGCCGGTACGTCACGATTCAGAATAATTCCGTCTTTTTTTAGCGCATTTTCTCTTTTATGGAAAAAAAGGCACTATTGTGCTCGCCATGTCCGTCCGTCCGTCCGTCTGTCTGTCTGTCCGTCCGTGACTTCACGGTTTCGTCGACGAGAAAATGCGCTCTCTGTCACTCACTGCAGTGAATACCGAGTTATATATATTTTTTTGTTGTAAGTGACCAGTAATTTTTTTTGTCACTCAATATAGTCTGGTTAATTAACACCATCATCATATAGCCGTGTTATTGGCCGCTATTAATTTATTACTTAAAAAACGTATCCTTGGTAGTATAACAAGCACCTTAATTGTTTATCTATGTGAGAATCATGTATTAATATTGCAGTTAAATAACGTAGCCTTGTTAATTCTAATTACCTTCATCCCGTATTCATGCTTTAACCAGCAAGTAATTTGTTTTCTATTTCATGACGCTACAGTTTCCGGTGAGGCCATTTACGACCATAAGGCATCACTAACTAACATTGTGTCATGATCAAGTTAAGCAATAATGTTCAAGTTGCTCCTCAACCACTTGTGGGTTTTGGTTTACAATTTAACATTTTAGGCTAAACATTCATGGAACTTTACCCTCATTGTAAGGTACTGCTGGAATTCAGCGGCAATCCTCAAATTTGGGATACAATCCGATTAGTAGATATTGTGAATACGCACTCTAATACCTTGAATATATTTAAGACTTTAAGCTCCAAACACACAGTCAGACTTTCGGGAGACTGTAATAAACTATCAGGTTAGCCCGGTGTTTCTCGGGATCAATAATGCCGGCAATTTTCTATAATCTCCGTTATCCCGAACGCATACTAAAATTATGATATGGTAAATAAAGAAAGAACCCGTCAAACCGACGTTTTACATTGAACTCACATTAGAATCTATTTTTTTAGAAACATTTTGTGCTTTTTGAATTTTAAAACTGCATTTTAAAATATGAGCCAATCCTCTCCTCCCCTAGGCAATCCTTACTTTCCCACTAAGAATAAATTTTCAGGTTCAGGTTATGTCCCCACGTGAATTATTTAAGCGATTTTGTTCAATTATTCAAGCGAGCAATATTATTTGATTTATTTCAAAGCAATTTTTAGATCTCAAAATCTGAATCATTCAACTATAAATTACTTATTTGCCGGCTTCATGTACTAATTTTACTGTAGTCATTATATTAATTCCATTAAATCTGGAGCAGTCATCAACACCACCGATCAAACTTAGCCATTTATGAACACATAATTAAACTTCCAAATTCCATCAAAATAGTATTTAAACTTCCAAATTCCATCAAAATAGTCTAAGTAAACCAGAAATTTATTAAAATTTAATAAATCGAGTGACATTAATATTAGCACGCGTAAACAAAGAACGGTTTGCTCAGGAGCGTCCCCACACCTACGGGACTACGGCCGCGGGTGCCATTTATGAACACATAATTAAACTTCCCAAATTCCATCAAAATAGTATAAGTACACCAGAAATTTACTACAATTTAATAAATCAAATGACAATAATATTAGCACGAGTAAACAAAGAACGCTTCCCTCAGGAGCGTCCCCGCACCTACGGGACTACGGGCGCGGGTGCCATTTAGAAACACATAATTAAACTTCTTACAAATTCCATCAAAATAGTCTAAGTAAACCAGAAATTTACTACAATTTAATAAATCGAATGACGAGTCTAAGTAAACTACGAGTCTAAGTAAACCAGAAATTTATTAAAATTTAATAAATCAAATGACATTAATATTAGCACGCGTAAACAAAGAACGCTTCCCTCAGGAGCGTCCCCGCACCTACGGGACTACGGGCGCGGGTTGACTGCCGTCGAGTGGGCCCGGTTCACGGGCCGGCATCTCTGCTGTGACCTTATCGAGAGCGTCGAGCGCTCATGCTCGGCACATGTCAGAGAGCGCTGGGCCAGCGATCCTGATCTGCAGAGATCATCTCCGCCTGCATCGGTCTCTGCTGAGCACAGAGAGTCGTGGATCAGGCATAAGGCACGAGTCGATCGGTTATCTTTTTATATTACAATTATAGATCATAATGTGATCTTGAAGATCAGCGGCTGCAAATCACAGAGAGAGAATCCTGGATCAGGCATAAGGCATGAGTCGATCGTTTATCTTTTTATATTAGAAGTATAAATTATAGATCTTGATCGACTGGGATATTATAGATCAGCGGCTGCAGTTCACGGTGAGTCATGGATCAGGCACAAGGCATAAGTCGATCGTTTATCTTTCTATATTACAAGTATAGATCATAGATCGTGATAAGAAGTATAGATTATAGATCTTGATCGACTGTGATCTTTTAGATCAGCGGCTGACGATCACGGAGAGTCTTGGATCAGGCAAATGGCATGAGTCAACGTTCAAGTTTTCATAAGAAGTATAGATAAGTGATCCTAATTATTAGTGATCATATGTATCATTAATCTGCACATCCAAGTTTTGTGTAAGGAATAAAATATCGTTTGATTATTTTTTGCTTGTAATAAGCTCCATAAAACATATCCAGCATTGGATTCATGGTTTGACCTGATCACATGAACTGATATTTGATACGTCATCGTAAGACCTATGTACGTTACTGTGGTGAATTTATTGTTCATCTTATGAATAATAAATATACTAAATATATTATCTTCTCCATATACTAAGCTCTATGTTCGGCAGTTGTTGCTGATGCCTGCACTGTTTTGGTCTACTCGCAGCCTATCGCTCTAATTTGGTATCTATAATCGAATTATAAAGGATCCATGTTAAGATGAAGCGAAAATTAATTTTCCAGCCAAATAAATCTCCTACGAATGATATTTCATTCTAACAGATAAAAGATTTATTGTGATTACAATGATGATTACACTGGATGTAATCAGCATAACATCATGCTAATATCAACATAATTTTACTTCAATATGAAAATTTCGGCAATTGACAGATATCATTGCGTTTATAGATTTTAAATTATCGGTTAGTAAGTGAAACGCCATCGTAGACCTGGGGCTTGTTCTGGTGAACGCGTTTGGGTCTATGAGTGGCAACAGGATATTTTATTTCTATGTTCCTTTTGTGAAATATGTTTTCAACGCATTTATTTTTCTGGAATATTATTCATCTTCTATTAAAAAAATTTCTCTGGAATAGAGATGATATTGATGTTTCAAGACTTTAGCGGCTATATAGTTATCCTTCGCGTTTAACTTTGCAGCATTGTTGAGAAGACATTGCCAATATATAATGATCAATAAAATAGTTTTTTCAAGAGGGTACAATGAAAGAAAAAGCTGTAGACAATATTCTTCGATTAAATGAAGTACAATATTAGTGGCTCGTAAGTTAATCTCAATTCAGTTAAGAAGCCATTTCTAAACTAAGTAAACCTCTGTATGTTAGCTTTTGTAAAAAATATTTTATCATCTACAAAATTTAGACGGTGTAAAGATACTGAATTCAATTGTTTTAATTAATACACTGACTTTTGTATAGTATTCTCATCTAATTTCATTATTAATTGTTAAAAAATATTTCATATTCTACTGAATTTGGGCGGTTATGTAAATAACATACAATTTCTAACATTTAAGAATCACCCCATAACCAAGGTTACTTATATTTTCTTAAAGTTTATCAACCACTGAATCATTTACTCGTCTATGTCTATATCATAAGTTAAGTATAGTAAGCATACTAAACGTCTATATCTTAAGTATAGTATACTAAAGTATACGTCCATATCTTAAGTATAGTATACTAAAGTATACGTCTATATTTTAAGTATAGTATACTAAAGCATACGTCTATATCTTAAGAGTCGGTAGCCTGAACGTATACGTTTTTTTAAGTATAGTATACTAGAGTATACGTCTATATCTTAAGTATAGTATACTAAAGTATACGTCCATATCTTAAGTATAGTATACTAAAGCATACGTCTATATCTTAAGTATAGTATAACTGCAGGTACGTCGCAACTTCCCTGCAGGTACGTCGTGCCTTCACTGCAGGTACGTCGCAACTTCCCTGCAGGTACGTCGTGCCTTCACTGCAGGTACGTCGTGCCTTTCCTGCAGGTACGTCGTGCCTCATTGCAGGTGCGGCTGCAGGGTGGTGGTAGGAAGGAATATTCGTATAGGTTTTATTTCTGTCTACCAACAGACGATGTGACGATGTGCAGTAGGAGGCTTATGAAATATGCGTTATAATATATTTTATCTGAAACAAATTTGTATTCTCAGGTTACGGAAGTGAAAGTGGCAGACTGCTACCAAGATCCCGAGGAGACCTTGAAAAGCACCTCCTTATCATCTTCCCCTGGAGACACGCACTCGTTTTCCTCTTCAAACAGCAATAGCCCCAGAGTGACCAGATCTCAAACTTCCCCTTCACACAACCGGTCTTCCTCCGACTCTCCAAAACCTTCAAGTTCTCCGGAGAATAAAATCGTGACTGTTGGTCTTTCTGGACATTCTCAAAACCCTTCGACCTCTTCAACGTCTGATAAGGACGACATCATTGGAAAAGATTTCTCTAACTCAAGACAGTCCTTCCAGCCCAGAGTTTTGCCCTCCGCGAGCGCCACTAGCTTATCAAAAAGCCAGCCTTGGGCTACCGATAACACAGAGAAAAAAGCAAATTCCCCGCAAATTGTGATGGCAGGAATGAAAAGTGTCGCCCCACAGAGTGTAGTGACACAAACCAGCGGCGGAAGGGTGGTGACAGCCGCTGTCTACAGCAAAGGAGCTTCTGTTTACACGGTGCAGAAATCAGCGTCGGTCCCCAAATTCAGCGCTACATTGCCTTCAAAACCAAAAGCCGTTTCTGCTTTCGAGAAATCTAAGCAGTTCAGCTTCGATAATTAATGGAAGTACCTGACCAAAAAGCTCGACCGATTGTGTACTAACCGTAGTATAGAATTTCTTTATTCCAGAACTCGGCAGTTAGAATCGCTTGAAGAAAGTTATTCACATAATATACAAAAGAATTTTTTTCTTCCACCAGACCAAACTATTTAGGCTTTGTAACCGGAAATAAATTGACTGTTATTTCTGTTAACTTTCGAAATGTGACAAATGAACCAAATCTTCACTAGATCATTTGTTCTACAGGTTCTTGTTCTAGAAGCACTAGATCTTTGAGGTTCGACAGAATGATATATGTTGTTATTAGATCTTAGAGCTTCCAAAGTGTATAGAATTTTGATATAAATATTTAAATGTTTAGTTAGTGGATGAATCAGTATTTAAATTAGTTGAAATGCAGGGAGTAATGATAAAAATACATATTTTTAGTGAAAGACAATAATATGTAAGTTTATTAATAAACCTCTATCATATTAATAATATGTCGTTAAAACAATTATTCGAATACTTTGCCCTCGAATACTGTTCATTAAAAAATATTATATTAATGCTCATAACGCATATTAATTCGTGTATCCTATAGAATTCCCCTAATTATAATAAGTAGTAAAGTTTTAAAACATCATAATCTGTATCGATAATGTCTTTTTATTCCTTCCACTGAATTAATGATTTCCACAAATCTGCTTTAATGTGATTAAATATAATCATACATATGCGCAAGTTATTCATGAATTATTTTCTCTCTTTTAAAATTACCCAAAAGTGAAGTCGTTTTAAATTACATTTGTTTTTGTGAACTGCAGAAACTCTAAAGTGATCAGCATGAAGGTTTGATGTCTTAGCCACTGTACGCACCATAAGAAAACTGAAACATCATTCATATTCTATTAATTTGCTAATTAGGATTCAATAAATAGCGATATGTACAATTTTTTATGTGAAAATTAGTATCTTGCTCAATGACCAAGAATTGTGGAAGTCTAGAACTTGTACAGACCTTTCGAAGCTATTGCACCGTCTAACTTTATGCGAGTTGAGGAATTTTGTGTAAACGTTTATTGTTCTAGAAAAGATTATTTACCTTAAATATATTCTACCTATTGCGCTACCCTTTAAATGTAGATCCCTACGTAGAAATATTTATTACCTAATGCATCGCTTTAATTAATAAATGTGTAATGATAGTGATATGTCTATTTATTGGGCTCATACACCGGTTTGACCTAATTTTACTATGAATAACTTTGAACTCCAAAAAGTAGCGACTGGCAAACCATTCCCTTGCGCAGAAACTTTATTTTAATAGATCATAAATTTATTGTTGAATTCTCTTCGATGGCTACATTTAATTTAACATGACGATCTTCTCAAATATTGACAACGCAATTTTCAATGATTTCGTTTTTTAATATTCGTGTTTCCCCTTTTCTTGCCCACGCATTTTTTCTCCCTTTTACAACTAGGGGTCAGTATGCTTTAATCTTTCTGAGGTCGTATAATTCGTACACATAATAGATATTGCGGTCATTATACGACAGAGATCAACCGCAGGAAACAAGCGGAATCTGGATAACTGGAAGAAATGTAAACAAATTAATTATTTAACTGTATTTTATTATTTTTCTTCCTGAATGAAATTACCACTGAAATTACTCAAGTAATTACCACAGAAATTACTAAAGTAATTACCACATAAATTACTACAGTAATTACGACAGAAATTACCACAGATTTTATTACAGTAATTACCACAGAAATTACCACAGAAATTACCGCAGAAATTACCACAGAAATTACCACAGAGATTACCACAGAAATTACCACAGAAATTACCACAGAAACTATCACAGTAATTACCACAGAAATTACCACAGTAATTACCACAGAAATTACCACAGAAATTCCCACAGAAATTGCCTCAGAAATTACCACAGAAATTACCACAGAAATTACCACAGAAATTACTACAGAAATTACCACAAAAATTATCACAGAAATTACCACAGAAATTACCGCAGAAACCACCACGGTAACTACTACAGAAATTACCACAGAATTTACCACAGAAATTACTACAGAAATTACTACAGAAATTACCACAGAATTTACCACAGAAATTACTACAGAAACTACTACAGAAATTACCGCAGAAATTACCACAGTAATTATCACAGAAATTACCACAGAAATTACCACAGAAATTACCGCAGAAACCACCACAGTAATTACTGCAGAAATTACTACAGAATTTACCACAGAAATTACTACAGAAATTACCAAAGTAATTACCACAGTAATTACTAAAGAAATTACCACCAGAAAAAACCAAAGTAATTACCACAGTAATTACTACAGAAATTACTGCAGAAATTACCACAGAATTTACCACAGAAATTACCACAGAAATGTACCCGATGATACGTTCACAATAATACTACCGTAACGCACACAACAACATGATAGTCGATGGTCAAGAACGTCAAGGTCAATTAAGGCACGTCTGGTTTATTAATGGAAAAATTGAGAACTTATTTAATGAGCTAACAAACATCGTTGCAAATATCTTAAGCTCAAACTGTTTTAAATGCTGACAAAAAAATAGTTAAGTACATCCTGCTCGTCCCAAATTTCAGTAATCAAATAACTTTAGTAATTTATTCTTTGAATTTAAATGTTTCTTAATATTATTGATATAATTACATAAGAAGTGATAGAGAATGATGTTTATCAGTGACTGACAGGATGTAAACAAATCTTAACCATACCGCATAACTTATTGAAACACACAACATGTTTGATCAATATAGTTCCATGAACAATCCATATAGTTGAATACATAATCCATATAGTTCAACATTAAATCCATTTAGTTCCCTAGAATTATAATCACAAATCATTAACCGTATTATTCGATCAAACCCATTACTTTGCGCCGCGACGGCTTCAATTGTCGACCTTGGCTTCAATTGTCGTACAGGTGCTATTAAAAATTACCTTTTTGAATATATTATCGATTCACAGCATTAACATACTATTATAGTAGAAATAGTATTTAAATTAACGTTTGCACTTTCATTAGTACAAGAATTCGAAGGGGAACAGTTTAGCATGAACCTTTCCTGAACTAGTTCAATAACATTTTTTTGCGATGACGCCAAAATGAAATATTAACTAACAATTTAGGTAAAATGGCCTTGCAACAACCACTCAATGCCTCATTAGCAGCTAATTCAGAGGAGTGTTTCTTCATAACAGCACTAGAACTAATGTTAACGTAAAATTCAGATAGAAATAGGATTGCGAGAGCCCAATCCTCTCACAAATTCCTTACGGTTGAAGCAATAATTGCATTTTACATCGTATTTAAAATGATAACAATGGAACATCAATAAAAGAAACGTGCAGCCAAGAATTGATGCACTAGGTTTATATTACGACACAACAACGTGTAAGGCACTCGTTCCAGCACAACAGCAAACAGGAGAATAATTCAGCATAAAATAGGATAACTTGCTTTAAAATAATGGCGCACGGTGTAGAGGGAGAGAATTATTTTAATTTGGAATTTGTTTGCCATATAAAAAAAGAAGCAAGGGAATAGGCATGGCAAGCTTTGAGCGTTTATAAAATGTATCATCAAAAAATTAATTATATTCTTTATATCTCCGAAATAATAACTGTGCGCTTCTTATCACCTTACATTAATTTCTTATCACCTTACATTAATGGCTGTGCACTCAGGCGTATCATTGCTTCGTTAATTGTTCACTTACTATCATTTGCAGTTGATTTGCATCTTGTATTACATTAATTGTACGCTCAGAATTAAATAATTGTTCGAGAATATTTGCCCGTCGTCCTAATACAATGTAATTGTGAACAATCATTACGCTAGTTAATGCGATCTTTTAGTTTGTGATCTTTATCACTTGCAAGATAATTAACCAACACATTACATTAATTACTATTCTACATTCGGTGCCCAATAGGACGTCACAAGTTCTCAAAAATTGCAGTAAGATTATATTTTCATTAACATTTTCATATTAACGTACGGAGGCTGGTAATAATATAAAGTAAACTAAAAACTGTAATTCTGCCAGTACTTACATATAAGGTGATAACTATGATTGCTATAATAAAATGGTCAATGTTTGAATAATTAATGTGCTCATGAAATTAAAACAGCCAGATTAAATAGATTCGGAATAATAATATTGAAATTACTAAATAGTTTCACTTCTTTTATTCCTGATTTTTAATTTGACCACTTATTTCACCAAAATGCATGCGTATATGAGACCAATAACAAATTACGTCAACTAAAATTCAAGTTACCCTCCGTTCATACAGTGCCGGAAATGGCTATACGACTACCCAGTTTTCTCCAAATATTTTTTCTTGCACAAAAAATTATGGGATTCTAATTATACGTGGTTAAACTACGTTTTAAAACGATTCCAACGCTATGCGAAAAAAATAATTTTCTCAAAATATATGAGAAGAAATTATGAAAATTAGAAAAACCTAGGTGGAAATTGTTATAAGACCATGATATGTTTTTCCGTTTGTGGATCACATTCACTCATTTTAATAGGCAATCTCACCTCCTTTCGCCATAATTACCTCAATTCATCTTCTCCCCACGCTATTTACCATATAATCCAGTGTCTTTTGAGAAATTTTATCCCAAGAACGAAGGATAGCCGTGCTCAGGTCACTCACAGACTGAAACTGGCGCTCATTTTGGTAAACATCTCTCGCCATGATGCCCCATAAGTTTTCAATGGGGTTTAGGTCAGGGCTAAGCGCCGGCCACGGCAACAGAGTAATATTCTGCTCTAGGAACCACATGTTTGCCGATTTTGAGGTGTGAATTGAAGCATTGTTTTTTTGGAAAACATATGTTCCCTCATGTTTCTCATCGATAAAAGGGAGAAGTTGGTAAAACAGCGTGTGTTTGTAAGCCACGGAATATTGTCTCCCATGTAAAATAGCTAGAGTTGATTTTCCCTTTCAGCTAAGCGCCCTAAAAAACCATGACTGAACCAACACAAGATTGCCGCTTGAAAAAAAATTCAGGCTCATTGTCCAGTGGTGCCAATAGCATTGCCATCCATCTGGATCATAAAGATTGAACTTTTTTCATCACTGAAGGTAATCATGTGCCATCCCTTACCAATAAGCAAATATTTTACAGCTAATTTTTGTCGGTTGATAATATGCTTTTGTTGGAGCACAGGGGCATTTTTTCTCGTCATGTATTTGAATTTCTTCGAGTCATGCAATATCTAACGGATGCGTCGTGCTGTCACATCAACTCCAGTGAACAATTTTATAGAAGTAGAGGTAGCGCAAGTTTTAGAAGCCTCAGAAAACAGTCTCCTAAGATCCCTGTCGGTTAATTTTGGGGTTGGCTCAGTGTGCTTTTTTCACCCGTAGCCACCCGGATTAGCAAAAAAATTATTGTCCAATGGGTTTTGAGCATTTTATTCCCATTTCGATGTCCCGTTGACTTCTACTGCATTTCACAAAGCCGAAAACTGCGTCTTCTCGGCCTCAGTGAGTCTTGTCCCATTTGGCATATTTTTTACTTCGAAAAAATATAAGTGAGGACACTGAACTGTACCAGAAGTACACCAGAAAGGCCCTAAATGACGAAAATCAATATATTATTTATGTTGCTGTACTTTTTAAAGTGAAAATATTACAGAAAGATACCAAAATGGAGAAAAACCAATCCTGGTCTTATAACCATTTCCACCTAGGTTTTTCTAATTTTCATAATTTCTTCTCATTTATTTTGAGAAACTTTTTTTTTCGCATAGCGTTGGAACCGGTTTTTAAACGTAGTTTATCCTCGTATAATTAGAATCCCTTAATTTTTTTGTGCAAGAAAAAATATTTGGAGAAACTGGGTGGTCGTATAGCCATTTCCGGCACTGTATATAACCAGTAAATACTTTATATGTTCATTGATATTCTAATATGGAATCACGGGACAGCTCCACTACAGATATTCTGTTGTATCTATCATGCAGAATTCCCGGCCAGTCACCAGCCAATTCCCAAACTGTCCCCCACCAATCACGGCGGTCAAATGCATGGTCAAGAAAAAAGAACGTACGTAGTGAGATTGGTCCTGTTACGAATAAACGTTCCACTGGTATAACGTTTACTCGTACCGCTGTTGTTACGAATAAACGTTCCGCTGGTGTAACGTTTACTCGTACCGCTGTTGTTACGAATAAACGTTCCACTGGTATAACGTATAATCGTACCGCTGTTGTTATGAATAAACGTTCTGCTGGTGTAATGTATACTCGTACCGCTGTTGTTACGAATAAACGTTCCACTGGTATAACGTATAATCGTACCGCTGTTGTTACGAATAAACGTTCCGCTGAAGTAACATTCAATCGTACCGCTGTTGTTACAAGTAAACGTTCCGCAGTTGTAACGTATACTCGTACCGCTGTTGTTACGAGTAAACGTTCCGCTGATGTAACGTTCAATCGTATACCGCTGTTACGAATAAACGTATGCTGTCCAGTATTACAGATCCTATTAATGTTTGGGCGAAGGAAATGTTCATGAACGGTGGACTATAACACTAACCTGCGACCAGTACTCACCATATAGAATAAATATTGCAAACAATTCGATTAGAGAAATCGGTAACAAGATTAGATCATAGATATCTCTATAAATAATTTGTCTAATTGTGTGCCGTGAGTATATGGGGTAGGAGTACTGCAACGGATTTAATTATTACATTATATTAATTAATATTGCGACACTTGAATTTTTTATATAATATTCGAATATTCAAGACTCAATTACAAAGTATTCGATTGTTGTGAATTCGCTCATCTTTTCATTGAAAAGCAATTGACTGCAGAAAAGCTCCATGTGTAGTGTACAGTGTTACATCGCAAGGTAAATTAGTAAATTACTTAATTAAATTTTTTCATGTCATCCGTTTAATGTTAACCATAATTAAGAAGAAATACCTTTAGGTAAAGAGAAGCTGTCTCATTTCGTTGGGTTGCTGGTGAATTGTTATTGTCAGTTCAGAAAACGGCTTCACTTCTTCTCGGTTGGTTGCCTTGGTGATGCAGTGTGAGTGCTGCCGGTTTGGTTACCCGTCAGTGGTACGTTACTGGCACCCGTTGCGTGAGTGTTGCCGGTTTGGTTACCCGTCAGTGGTACGTCACTGGCACCCGTTGCGTTAGTGTTGCCGGTTTGATTACCCGTCAGTGGTACGTTACTGGCACCCGTTGTGTGAGTGTTGCCGGTTTGGTTACCCGTCAGTGGTACGTTACTGGCACCCGTTGCGTTACCCGTCAGTGGTACGTTACTGGCACCCGTTGCGTTATTGTTGCCGGTTTGGTTACCCGTCAGTGGTACGTTACTGGCACCCGTTGCGTTACCCGTCAGTGGTACGTTACTGGCACCCGTTGCGTTAGTGTTGCCAGTTGAGTTACGCAAAAGTGTCGCATTTTTGGTACGTGTTGAATTTACTATGTTCATTGCGTCACGCGGGTGCTGTGGATTACCGGCGCCCGTTACGTTACCGCTACGGGTAACGTTACGAGAACTCGTTGCACTGCTGCTGTTACTCTTGTTACCCGCGGGCATGAGCCCTAAACGTTCGCTGGTAACGGTTTTAAAAGCAAGATTTGACATCAAGTTTACGAGTATCAACAGAAGTACCGCCGCAAGCACCAGCTTACAGACAGAGGTGCTGACGCTGTAGCAGCGCTTCAGAAGCTTGATGATGGGACGTGGCTCGGTTTGTTGGGGTCTCCCCTTGATGAGGTTACCGCCTTCTTCTTCTTGGCGCGACTCTGCGTCGCGTAAACTGGATTTTCGCTGGCGAACTCCTCTTTGAAGTTCGGCGATCACGTCTGCCATCACGATGAAAGACGAAGATAAATTGTCTTTTTGCTATTTTTTGAGATATTCTCACAACTTTTGTCTTTCAAGTTATATTGTCTTTAATTTTTTTTAAATTCAGATTTTTCAAAATAAATGTTAATGTTCTCGTAACTCTGATTGGATCTGTGCAGAAGCAATGTGCTGTTGTTCAATGAAAAAAAAACAAACAATTATTATTAAATTTAAACATATGCAGATGCAGCATAAGTACCAAACTATACTACACTAAACTATGCTATACTATACTATACTATAATACGATACTATACTATACTATACTATACTATACTATACTATACTATACTATACTATACTATACTATACTATACTACTGTATACTATACTGTACTATACCATACTATACTATACTATACTATACTATACTATACTATACTATACTATACCTGTCTCTTATACACATCTAGATGTGTATAAGAGACAGGCTAATGGGGTTGCGCCCAGCTAATGGGGTGCGCCCAGCTAATGGGGTGCGCCCAGCTAATGGGGTGCGCCAGCTCATGGGGTTCACCAGCTTATGGGGTTCACCAGCTAATGGGGTTCACCAGCTTATGGGGTTCACCAGCTAATGGGGTTCATCAGCTAATGGGGCTCACGCCCCCTTTTATCGCAGCGCCAAAAATAAGTCGTCGCCGCTGAGCTTGGCTCGCGTCAGCGCCGCGACGTCGTCGATGGCCGCTACATCGGCGGCCAGCGACCATCCGGCCATCGGCGGCCAGCGATCATCCGGCCATCGGCGGCCAGCGGCCATCCGGCCATCGGCGGCCAGCGACCATCCGGCCATCGGCGGCCAGCGACCATCCGGCCATCGGCGGCCAGCGACCATCCGGCCATCGGCGGCCAGCGATCATCTGGCCATCGGCGGCCAGCGATCGGTAGGGCAGAGGTTGGTATCGTATATCAGTGGAGATCTCTACAAAATGGATATTCTCTTTGTATTGTAGTTGAATTGTTGTCAATGGGTGAACCTTCTCATGGGGACCTTTTTTGGCTAGTTGTTCTCCACAGAAAAGGTTCTTCACCGGACGTGTTTTCCACCGGACATGTTCACCACCGGACATGTTCACCACCGGACATGTTCTCCACCGGACATGTTCTCCACCGGACATGTTCTTCACCGGACATGTTCTCCACCAGACATGTTCTCCACCGGACATGTTCTCCACACGTACACGTATTGAGTGGTAGCTCGTATTGATATTGACACGTACACGTATTGAGTGGTGGCTCGTATTGATATTGACACGTACACGTATTGAGTGTACGTGCCGGGCGTTATTGACTGAAACTTCCAGGTTTTCACTTAGAACCTTGGCAAAATAAATGTGCTATTCTATACTACCCTGACTTCGTAACTACTCTGAATCATTTCTACTCTGATATACTTACTTTTCTGATACAGAATCTACCTTGAGCTAGCTAGCATCTGCCTCGCATCAGTAAATCAAGAGTTAACTGATACATCTAAAGCCATTTGCACTATAACAGAGAATCGCACACTTCATTCTTATTATGTCAGAGTTTATAAGATATCTGCGTATGTTTTTTTAGTTTCATTTCGCATATAATTTGTCTTTAAACCATTTGGAGTAATAATGATGAAAATAATAATAGCGGTATCAGCGTTCATTAGGCCATATGCATGCCTGTCGTCGATTCTTAACACCGCAGAACATTCTCATCCTGTTGGGGTCTCGAACAAGTAACTCACTGCTCCAATTTTGCTGTGCGTAACCGCCCGGCCTCCTCGCGGATTCTGACCAGAATCTGTCGCACAGAGCTGGTATCGAACCCGCAACTCACTGCCCAATCCCGGTACTCTGAACTGTAACCACTGGGCCACCCTGCCTAAATTGGACCCTTAGTACATCATTCGAGAAGCTCCGCTGTATGCATTAAATATTTTTATGTGTGCTTGTGTTTAAATGTTATCCTTCTATTATAATAATTATATTCTATAATTGTTATTTACCCTGCTATTATAATAAGCATTTCTCATCAGTGTTTGGTTTGTCGGCAAATAACCAGGATTAAATAGATCAATAATTTATTAATAAAAAACACTGATAAAGTTGCGGTCTCATTAATTGCTAGGAAGGCAAGCACAGATCACGCATAAATGTGAAGTTATAACTGCATTTGAAATTCCTTAACAATTTATAGTTTAATTATCCTCCATAATGTTTCAATTTGATTTACCTGTTGCTTTAAATTTTACTTTGAATTTTACAACTCAATTGAGTTAAGATACGTGAACATAAAAGCAATCATTTAAATTAGAGATTTTCAACACATAATAAATATTTTACTCAGATGAACTAATTCATGTGTTAATAAATGTTACACAATTACACAGAAAATACGCATTGGAGCTCAAAAAAATACGCAAGGAATAGAATGGTTGGAGGCTATTATTTAACACTGCCCAAACTCTTCAAAAACAATCAAATTCGTAAACATTTTATTTTATTATCATCAAATAATAATTAGCAACTTTTGCAAATAGTGAACACACTTTGTGCTCGTAGCACAGATACGCCCTATTTAGGGCCACACTGAGTCAGGTTGGTTGTAGTCACTCAACTGGGTATCACTCAATTCTCTGAATGTAGATAACAAACCTTACAAAACCTTATTTTTTAGAAGTAAGAGAGCAATCATTTCATTTATCACTTAATATTAAAAAAAATTAAAAATTGCAGCATATTTAAATTCTAAATTGCATGAATGTCCGTGTTTTTTTTTATAAATGAAAGAAATATCTTGCGTCGTAGATTTTCGGTTAAATTGTAGAGACAATAGTAAAAAACCTTTATATTCATGAGATTAACAACGATTTTTATCCGTAACAGATAAAACATTGAGACTGTTATCAATATATTTATCCTAATAAGGTTAATTCACATCTAGAAATCAACTCAAACGCAAACAAACACACACATTTTAAACTTTCTAAACACTTAACCGTTGACCTGAAATTCAAAGTCTGAGTATTGCGAGGGACATGAAAGATTAATTACGACTGAAATTCCGTGAATTTTAAATATAAAACATACTTGGTGTTTACAATAAAACTTTGCCCGAAAAAGCACAAACCATTTAAAGAACGGCGATTGCAAGCGTGGTAAAAACGCTCAGTGGTGAGATATCGTATTTAAAATTCCAAAATTACGTGCACTATATTATATACAAAATTGTATGCTATAGAAATATATCATGAAAATTTAAATACTTTAGTAAAGTACAGAATCTATGGTATTGTAGAATATGTTCACAAAAAGCTATAGAAATCATAAACAGACGTTCTCAGCTCAAAATATTTCATTACAAGGCTCCCGGTTCAGATCTTCAAGCTCATAGTTCTAAGAAAATGCTTCCAAGCTCATGGTTATTAAGTCATGGTTTTAATCTCATGGTCAACCGTCTGGACTAAGCTCAAGAGTCTAACTCATGATACCCATAGCCCTAAGCTTATGCACATTGTACTCAGCTGAGGGTTCTCAATTTATGGTGCAAAGTTTAAATTTTTCAATTTTTAAGTACCAAACTATATTTTCTTGTGCAGCAACTGTCATTTATGCCAACAATTTGAATTTTACAATGGAAAATAATTAGCAATATATGATGTATTGGGATAAGGAGGTAATCAATGTATCCACGCTAACCACCGAATATTTTGTTATTTATATTTCACTCAACGAATAATATTCCGCAGTCACTTAGTTTCTATTGGCCAATTAACGATTAATATCCAGTAATTAGCTCTCACTGGCCAATCAGTCGCTCTCTCGCAATTATCATGCCCTGTTCGGCGTGGGTGGAGCCTCCTCACATATTCTGCAAATAAAAAAATTATTATTCAACAAAATATATAACTATTATTCAAAAATAATATATAGATTTTTCAACAAAATATGCGACGTCGGTAAATATGTATACAACCTTTTGAAAACAATGAAAATTGAAAATATCTACTAAGGCCCAATCGCCGTCTTCCATAAATTCATATTTATTCAATAAATTTCCTAAAAGTTTATTGAAAAATTAAGAAGAAAATTCTATGGAGTCTAGAAGATCAATTTCAATATCACGACAGACTTTTGCCCCTTCGGACCAAAATATTCAAAATGATTTGTTTTCAAATGAACAAATTATTCAAATGAAAATTGCGTACCACATTGCTCCGGCAAATTGATATTAATATCTATTAATACCTTTAAGTTGTATCATTTATGCTATTTACTATCGCGCCTAAAAATTATACTTTTTTATTAATTTCATCAGCACATAATCATTAACATCACATCCTTCAAACGTTAAAAATCACACTAAAACATATTCAAACTAAAACTTTTTCTTTCTTCGTAAGTAGAGTTAACTGTAACCTCACTATACAGCCTTGTCCTCCAACGTTTGGGGTAAGCTCTTAAATAGCGCCTAAATTGTTCCACAAACTTGTAATATTTCCTTGCATATTGATTGTACCTAATATCGACTTCATCTTAAGATGTATTGTATTTCATTAATTCTACAGGTGCAACACTCGTCGCCCTCGATTAATTTTCGTCTAAATCCTTTATCGCGCTTAACTTAGCTTTTAGCGGTGCTGAACCAACTTACCGCTATAAATTGGTAGATATTATTATTAAATATATTAATAATATTAAATATATTATTTAAATCATAAAAATGCCATATAAGTACAATAATGCAATATAATTTATCATAACCTAATACTAGCCGAGATGCCTTGCCGTACAATGTACAGGGCAAAATGTACATACCTGGGGCAGACACGTACATTTTAGCCCCGACAGGACGTACCTGGGGCAGACACGTACATTTTAGCCCCGACAGGACGTACCTGGGGCCTGTCTCTTATACACATCTAGATGTGTATAAGAGACAGGTATACTGTATCCTGTATAAAATGCTGTTGTATGCTGTTAACAGTGTTCTGTT